TTCTTCTTATCTATCTACACTGATTTAAATAGCTTCATTCCTCTAGAGTTTGGTATCTTGATTCAGCAAACTGAATACACTAACCTTCTACTAATTGAGGAAAATCATATTACTCTGATTTAGCAGTAATTATATTAATTTTAGCACAGTGGGAAGTTGTCTTTCTTTGCAGAGTAATTAAGCAAAATTCCACATATTTTCAAAGCTTTCTGTACATAAACGTTTTCCATTCACTTCGGTATCTTTGCTAAAAATGCACAGCATGGACTCCAAACTTAAACAAGAACAAAAGATTTATTTTCTTCAAACACAGGCAAATTTAAAGGCAGTTAAAAGTCATTTACTTTCACACAACCTAAAACAATACTGTTAGCACTGCAGTGACAGAGGCTCCAAATTACAAAGGTCAGTTAAGTAAAAGAGGGCAAAGGCAGCAGGACTCAGATGCTAAGAATAAAAACAAAAAGAGATCCAATGCAGCATTTTGAGAAAGAAGATCAATGAAAACAGTTGCTCAAGATCATACAACTTAGAGCGTTATTTTCTATACTGTTACGAGAGATTCTTTCTAGTTTAGCATTTTCTCTTTGCTAGTTCTTGCCATTTGCTTTAGTAAAACTAATACCGAAGCCACAGATTTACATTATCTGAAGTAGAAAGATAATATATGCCTCATTAAAAATAACTTAGCTACCATGGTAAAAGTGGAAACGTATGATAAAAGTATAAACGCGATGGCAAGGAGGAAGCAGCAGCATATTTTAACTATCGATCCAAGGAAGAAGGCAGCAGGTTGTCTTTCCAATCAAAACTACTTTTACAGCAACACAAATGCCCTTGCTTGCTCAACAGTAAAGGTCTTAAAAAGAAACAATTGAGAGGATGAGGCACAGAAAAATTATGCTTTAAACCATAAAATGACTAAAATAGGAGTGAATGATGTATGTTATGATTTAATGCTATAACTGTAAGTAGGACAAGCAATCTTATTGCTTATGCTTATGATAGCACAGCAATCAATGAGACAGACAGCAAACCAGTAATAAAGAAGTAGATAATGGCATACGGATTTGTTTAGCTTTATCAGTGGCAAGAAAAAGTCAGCGTCTAAAAATTTCATGAAATCAAGCCAGTAGTTACACAGATACAATAATTTGGTGGCTCTCTGTTTTCTTACCTGTAAGGACAGCTTTTGCTGAAGGATCTGCCAGGTCCAGGGCCGATTTCCCATCAGTGTTCCGAATGTTTGGATCGGCTCCGTGCTGCAGCAGCACTGTGCAGGGAAAGCAGAAACAGTATCTTACCTCGGGGATACACAGATTATTTACTGGTAAGTGTCGTCTCGGCATGGTGTAGGCATAAACATACATTGCACAATTTCTTTCTCTTTCAAGAAAAAAAAAAAAAGAAAGAAGGAAAGAAATAGAAAGACAGACAAAAGCACTGCAGCAAAGGATCCTCTCTAGAGTAAAGCGAAGTTGGCAACTTATGGTACAGTACAGTCACGTGACCTAACATCATAAACGTGAAACTAGAAAAATCTTGCAATATACAGTCGGTTTTGGTTTGCCTCCTTCAGGCAGCAGTATGGGAAGCTACGTGCTCGCTGGCTCACACTGTGAAATACGCTAACTGTGAACCTGCCCTATCTTTACTACCAGCGTGGGTGCTTGTTGCTGCTGGTGCTGCTGCTTTACTGCTCAATTTCCAAATGCTTCCTCCCCTTAGAATAGTTGTA